ATTGATACTTTTGTGGCAAGGAGCCCATCAGCTCACCATAAAGATGGTTCAAAAATCTGCCCATGGACAGTTCAAAAGCATGTAGTTTGCACATCTTTCTAACATAGGAGATTGGAAAAGGATTTAAGAACAGTTACTGTAATCTATGGCACCATTACTTCAGATTCCAAATCTCTTCAACATTAGAGAAGAAAAATAATATGTACCTACATATATATATAAAAACCAATGCTACTACAGCTTACAGATTTAATCAAAGTAGCAAACACAAAATAACGCAAATGCACAAATGAAAATAAATTACCTTTCAAAAAAAGACTTTGCTTCACTCTCATGTTGATTGTAGACCAATTCCAAGTACATGTGCACGAAGAGAGGATAAAACAGCTGAGACAATTCCGCTCGATGACAGTCCAGGGAACACTCAATGAAGTGTTTTAATCCACTGTAGTATTCCTCGTACAGGGTCGGGTCCCCCTGTTGATTGTAGGCAGACAATACTGCACTCACATCTGGCTGGTCTTCCACAACAACGCCTCCTCCAACTGCAAAAGCATTAGCATATAACAAGAGCTTATAAGACAGCCTGAAAGAGCTACCAAATATACAGTAGCTAACAACTCCACTGGTAAGGTGAGGCGCTCTGAGCAAGGCATGACACTAAGTCTTGCGCTTGTTCAGCACTAAGTTTAAACAATACAAGTGAGAGGATGGTAGCACATTACAGTCCAGCAGCCAATTCTCCTAGGACCTTCAGCCATTTTTTGTGCTTTCCCTGCCAACAGTTGCCTATAAGGTATTTAACATAGTGCCTAATTCAGCTAGGATTGTAAGTGTAAAGGAAGCCACTAACAACCACCAAAATAAGTTATCTTTACTCATAAGGCTAGAAACTGTCAAATGAGGAGCAGAATCTTTCAAAGCCCGTAAGATACACCCACTACAATTATTTTGCTTCCAGTAAACAAGCAAATTAAGTTCATCAAGTGAACAATTCACTAAGACCACTACACAACCATTACAGGGCAGTGACTTTTTGTCACTTGCTAACACTCTGAGAGCTCTGCTCTCCACAGCAGTCATTAAGCATCTTCATTGTTTTGTCTTCTATGTGAAAAACAGCCATATTGGGCGATAGCAGAAAAAGCTGACTTCCTACTCTACGTTTACTGGCACTCAGACATATCAGTTCCTGAAATTTCATTATACTATTCTGTAAAGCTGCCCCACAGAACACCTTGATTAAAAATACTTAGACTCCAGTTACCCAAAGGACATCTCAAGTACCCAGCAAATCGATCCAGAAACGTATAAAGCCTCCTCTACAAGTATCCTATGGCTCTTTCTTCAAAATGCAGCCTGTACATCAGGCCTCCATTCTCATCCCTGCAGCCACATCTTGGACCATCACCTCTAACTACAAAGAAAACCTTCAGCCTCCTGCTACGCTGTTAGTCAAGATGGGACACAAAGACAAGGGGAGGCACCTCTCACTTTGACAGTGCTCCCTGCAAATACGATGGATACCCTATCCTTGGTCTCTTGCTCCAGGGAGGACACCCCCAGGAGATCCCGATCTCTTCCCAAGATGTATGGGGGAATGACACACTCAGGGGTCCC